CTATGGACAGCAAAGTGGCAAGAGTATACCCACTGCCTCTAGCGACTAGTTCTTAGGATCCCAAGGACCCCAACTAGTCACGAAGTCTACTCCTTCCTACGTGACTGACTTGCTCAAGCTAGCTATCGAAGATTTCATGGACTGACTCCAAGTTTTGCTTTGACTACGACTAGCTCTTTCTCAACCTGGTCTGATGTCAGCTAACAATGCCTGTCCAGGAAGGCGATGGCTAGGCGTGCGCCAGAATTTGATACACAACCTAAATAGTAAATCAATCAGCAAAGTTATCCTCGAGGAATTTTAAAGACAGAAAATGATCACAGATCCTCAGGCTAGACATAATAACACCTTTGAAATTCAGTACAGATATAAACCATATATCAAAATCAAAGATGTAAAATATAAGCATTAAAGAAATTAAAATGTCAAATAGTAACAACTTACAGCTTCAAAATTATTGACATTTGACTTGAATAACAATAGTGTTAATGAACGCATTAAATCACCAATTAGGACAAAGTCACCTTTTCGACGAAGATAAAGAGCCACAATATTTTCATTGAAGCTACATGCCAGTCGTAAGGAATCCTCTTTGATATCGAAAAGTCTCACCTGTTTTTGCAAGATGGAAGATATGACAACAAAACACACACTTAGTATAAAATATTGGCGTCAATAAATACTTCGTACACAATCAAAATCAAAGGAATACAGGAAAATATTATTAAACAAGAAGACAGATACTGAAGTACCAAAATTCTAAGCTGATGTCATGTAGAAGTCCCATAAGCTTTCGCTTTCCGAAACTTACCCACCCAGAGTGACTGACTGACTAACTGAGTCTCAACACAGAACTTTGCACAGATATGCAACAGTTCAGGTTGCCAGGTGAGATGGGGACCTGGAAAGTGCTGGTTGAACGGTTGGCGGCAGAGTTCGACACCCCGACGGATAGGCAGCTGGAGTGCGACAGTTCCAAGCCACGAAGCTGGGACCGGACGGAGACTCACTAGTGTTGGCAATGAAGCTGACGAATCTATTACATCGTGCACTCTCAACGTTGCATGTAGAGTCGGAGTCATAGTTACGGGTGTCCCAGTTCATCGAGAGTGTCCCAGACCAAATTTCTCAGTAACTAAAACTGGTTAACACTGCACAACCCAAGGAAATCGGTGACCAGAAAGATGTTGAGCACAGAAACAGGTCAGGAATTCGTCGTTACCAGAAGACCACTGAACTGTTGATCCGCAAATTGCCTTTCCAACGTTTTGTCCGTGAGATTCCCCAGGACTTTAAGACTGACTTACGATTCTAGAGCTCAGCTGTGTCTGCTTTGCGAGAAGCCAGTGAAGCCTATTTGGTTGGTCTTTTCGAAGAAAGGACCCGGATAGATGCGGGCCAGGTTCACGGAAACTCCTCCCAAAGTGGGTAGGGCGATATAACACTGTAACCGAGAGATGTGGTCGCGTTTATACCATCAAAAAAGAGGAAAGAAGCAGAAACGGGTTAACATTAGCCAACTTCAGAAATGGATTCAGTGGGATAGGGAAGCCGGGAGCAAGGTACAACAGCAACGGGTAGTACCAAGAAGGTCGGAGCGGCTCCGTTCGAAATTATTTAGTGGGGGTTCGAGTGTGACATGTGCTACTGGTAAGACTTGTCAGTAGTATATAAAGTGATGTTCATCGGCATTAAAACATCAAATAGCTGGGAGAGAAATATGAAGTCAAAGAAAGCAAATGATTCAGCGTTCCCGAGATACATGAGAGACGTGAAAGGAACACAAAGAAACACAATACGAAGACCAGAAGTAGTACAACACGGAAGATCTGTGCGTTGAAGATAAGGTGTACATAATTTGGCTATATAGAGATACCTAATTGCAAATGAACATTCCTTTGACAAGTCTTTCGCCTTCTACCGTTACAATATTTCGGCTAGGATTGACCATCGAGGAAGGTAATGGCTAGGCTAGCATGTGTAACACATGTCCTAACCATCTCAAACGATGTAGCCTCACAACCTCATCAGTTGACTTCCCCTCATCTCCTAACACATGACTCTTAACCAACTCAACATCGCTCACTTTATTATACTGTAGGGAATCAAAGAAGTTTGTCAAGTCAATTGAACTTCAGCTGTGTCACTGTCAACGATCAATTTGTTTATCCATGCGAAAGGAAACATGGCGGGGAATACAGTTTTCACAAGACAAGAGTTCAGAGGCGGCGTCGTAGTGAGATCATGTATCGCCATAATCTATCCACATCATCTCTGATAAGTACACCTTTAAGCGAGAGCTATATCCTCCTTTCACTAACTGTGTGTGTGTGTGTTAAGAACATCCTGACTACAAGGTTAAGTGGGTCAGGCTAAAGAGTCAAGTAGCGTAGTGTGTCAACAGGATTTTCATCTTGAGCTGACATTAGTTAGAGAACCATTGAAAAACCCGGAAGTACTGGACAGCTGTTTCGTCAACCTAGTTTGGGACTCTTCAGCAGTACTCACCCACCGGGATTAGAACCCAGGACCTTCTGGTTACAAGGCGAGCTCGTATACCATTAAGCCACTGTGACCCGATCCAATGGCACATGAATTCAAACTTCTGCCGATTCACGACATAGCGCGACCGCTAGCCAATGTCTTCGGCGAGTATTTGTCTTTATACCCGACCTGCTGCACCCTACTGGTCACGTAGTGTGTGACTAAAGCTCTGGTCTAACAGGACAGATAGCCACATAACAATCGTGAGAGTCATTTCTTGTTGAAACCTATCGGGAACGAGGTCGAAGTCGTCCAAGCAGCGTAACTAACCGGTTTCATAGATAACCATCTAAACAGAGAGAGAGAACGCAGACAGGTATGACCAAAGACAGCTGCTAGCCATTATCATGGTTAATAAGCCACTTGTAATGAAATTCTAATACCTCACACTTCCTTATGTAATTTGTGCTGTGGACTTAATCTAAAATGATAACAAAAGCTACACAGTTAAACCGGTCGGTCACCAAGACTACCACAAAAGCATTGGAGGATTAGATATAAAGTACGTGCGTGTGATATACATACCACTAACACGAAAGAAATACTACAATACAATATTAATCATAATCAACTGTGAACAGGACACGACTAATTGTTACATAATAATGAAAACGAGTCAACCAACACCTACCGAACAGTTAATACCAGCTAACAGACGACCATTGAAATCAACAACTTGATAAACTGAACCATTAACATCTTGAACCAGAACAGTTTCCAGTTTCGAAGACTCTGGATCCCAACGGAACAAGTGTATTCGACCTTTGGATGGTTCCACTTCATCTTCGACTAAGAATGCAGTGCCGACAGCAAATAATGGTCCTTTATGAATCTCCGATTGGACAGAAGTTATGCTGATAGCCATTTCAACCAATGTTTGACTGTAGTAAAAGCTATGAGCAAATTGGATTTCAAGGTTGGATTGAGTGAAGATGAGAAGAGAAGAGACTTCGATTTCACGAAACTTTCTTTCAGTGGCAGAAACACAGGCTGAAAAAAATAATAATTGATTTTTTATCAAATAGGTGATTCAAAACAGTCATTTGAGGTATACAAACAAAAAGTTTGCTGACCAATAGCTGTTATACCTTGCATATTGCGATGACCTAACAAGCTACACTGGCTAGAACTAATGTTTCTGCAGGTCATACCATGTCAGGAAGATTGTTAAGATAGCGAGTGGACTAAAAGCAGTTACCGGCAGAGAGTAAGAATTTTTTTCGCACTACCCTGCGGGTCTGTGGGCAAAGTCGTACTGTTGGGGAACAGGGATGTAACAGCAATAAGGTGTTTCCCTCAGATGACCAGCATGCCAGCCAGCTATGCTGTCTCTCCACTCTGGAGAGAAGGGGTTAGAAAAGGTCGACCCCAACAACTGTACATCCCGACTTACCCTGCACGCTGGTCCGTAGACAGCGATAAGTTAGTCATACGGAACTAAACCTAAAAACCAGTTCAAACAGGTTGCGTGTGATCGGCCTAAAGCAGCCGTCCTGTGAACTCTGCGGTCACGCAACACTAATTCTCTTTCGATTAAAGGAATCCCAAGAAAAAAGCAACCTCTACGGTGGGCAACGGGGAAGTAACAACAGCCCACAAACTTCCAAAAGAAAAAGTACTGTGAACGAATTCATGTTAAAGATAGCCTTTATCTATAAGATTTGGGAAGTACTCAGACTATAAGACAACAAACACCAAATTCTTATCTTAGCATATCAGAAATTCCAGGGTTCTGGGTGTTTAGATCTCTCTCTGGTGTGTGTCAGGTAATACCCATCACCTTTTTGTTCTTATCAGAGAAATGAGTTCTAGGGGACCTCTGGTTTGTGAAATGATACCTGGTAAGGACTCTAGTTACTCAAGGATCTGGCTAAAATGTCAAGTGGAACACTTTGAAGCATGGTTCAAATGGCTTGAAGGTGAACTTTGGTTGTCTATCCAACTCCAGTCAGAATGAAGTGTCAACATTAACCTTGCAACTGCAACCGAGGTTTCACAAACTGCTCGCTATCTTAAAAGCACATTGAGTAATATGATCTGATGGCACAACACAAACAGTGTTTAGAAATGCTATCATTATCCAGTCTCTGCCTTTTGAGTAGAACAAATGACTCGAGTGACACATCTACATTTTCTCCGCAGCAATTGGTTGTGTACCGTCAACCTCTTCTTGCCCCACCACTGTCCACAAGCTTCCACTTCTGCTTTACATGACCTCCGCCTCTAAAGCTCAACCCGCACCTTCCTATTCGGGTTCCATTCAAGGGTATATGCTGGGGTTCCAGGGTTCAATGCTTAAAAATCAAATGGTTACCAGGATCCTTAAATCCTACTACAACGACTATAGGCGCCTAATTTAAGTCGTTATCAACTGTGTCAAAAACTTAAACAAAAAAAAACAAATTGCAATAACACACACTGGAAAAAGCGTGAAATGTGAGATAGAACTAACTTACATGGTGCTGTTTTTGGAAGTCGACTAGTGGATTTTGGAATTTTCGGGGATAAAGATATTGAAGAACGGACAGGTTTAAAGCCCATACCTTCTTGAAACATTTCTTGCCGGCAGGTGATAACACCTAGACTGCCAGTTTCAGATTGTAAAGCAAGACGTCTTGGTGTCTCCTCTAGCGGGAGACTTCGTACATGTAATTTTTGAATTTCATCTACTGATCCAATGATAAGCGATGAAGGAGTGACCAGTGCAATGCTAACAGTGGGATTACAAGAACAATAAAAATGAAGATGATCAACGCACAACGTTACTAGGACAAGTTAGTTAGTTAACTAATCAGCTTTACTTACAATAGGGCAAAGAAACATCCATTTAGCTATAAACTTGAAACCGTTATCACTGATTGATACAAACTAATACCCCGTAGCACAAGAGGTGGCTCTCATGGCTCAAGTGGATAACGCCTTGGTGCTTAAAATGATGGGTATTGGGTTCGAGTCTCAGTGGGAACATCGCCAGCCATTAGGAAATGCATGTGCATCCAGACGGCGAGCCCCAAAATAGGACGAAATGCACATCCTAGATTTCCCCGCCGCCCCGCAATGCTGACTACCACCACCTGCCAAATTACTTCAAGTTAATCTTCAGCCTATCGCGCCAAAGCGTCCGTATTCGGAACTGACAACAAGTCAACAGACGCCGAACATTTCGGCCGAAATAATCACTGGGAAAAGAAAAATTCTATTGAATTGAAAGCATTTGGTAACTGGTTGATAAAGTCTACACAAACTGCTTTCCACTTCCATTTTAGTGTTTCTGTAAGACCAATTTCAGTGTAGTACGTATAGTCTGGCTGTTTTTATTTTATTTTCGGCAACTAATTAATGTAATAAGCTCGTTAAATGTTAAGCACGATCAGTAACTACTCATTCAGTTTATACAAAGAGACGTTTGTGGACAATATCAAATGTTTAAAACATTAAAGATAAGTCTCAGACAAAGTTCATAATGACATAGGCGTCAGTGCATTCATTTCTGCTTGTTCTTAACCAAATAGTGAAATACCTAACACATTCAACGCACGTTGTTAAAAACTGGCTACCACCTAATTATGTCTGAATTAGAGAAGATTTGTAGTTTAAGTGGATGATTTTTATGTGGTTGTGTTCTCTGAGTTGGGTGGTTCACTTACAAAGCTTTCATTGCCTTACTTCAGCGTATACTTCATTTTGAAGTGTGAGCGTTTAAATTTCCCTACGAGTTTATTAGACATCGTGATCAGTTGCTTTTGTGTGTTTCACACCCTCTAGGCAGCTACTTGTATTGACATTGGTACTGATTGTTTCCTTGACCCGAAGTTTGACCTTTCGTGTATGAGATTTCCTTCTTGTAGACTGGTCAATTTTGTCTATGTCAATGTGTGTCTATTATTAACTGACGATTCATTGGAATATCACCAGTCTTCTAAAACCATTCTCTAGCATTTTTGGTGTTTTTTCCTCTGTCTAATATTTGAACGTCAAATTGATGTCCGTGGTTGTATGTATGCAGCCATATGAGTGAATGGGTGACATGTCTTTTGACAGCTAGTTTATGTTCATGGATGCGAAGACAAAGAGGGTGTTCACTTTGGTCAATGTAGTGTTTTTTGCAATCGTTGCAATTTATTTTGTAGATGATGTTGGTTTTATCTTCTTTCGTTGTTGAGTCTTTTGGTTGAAGCACGGCTGGCTGGCTGAGTGAAGTGACTTTGTTGATCTGTGTGAGACATCAATTCCTGAAGGTTTGAAGAGTCTTGCGGTGATTTCTGAGACGCTCTTCATATATATATATATATATATATATATATCATTCCTTTACGTTCCCAGTGGAAGATATAGGGCTTCAAGCTAGAGGCTTGAAGTTTCTGAAGCAGCTGTGGTTATTTTTACAGGAGGGGGTTGCCAGCCTCATGCCCAACCTCCCCTCTTCACCAGTCTTATTATTGGCTTAGCGAGGTAAAGACATGCGTCGGTGACCGGGAATCGAACCCCACACCACCTGCGAGGTCGGCGAACACTCTACCACTGTGCTTTCCTTGGTGAGGCCTTTAATTTGGTTGGTTGGCTTGAGAGCTAGATGTCTTTTGATGGAGTTTCGTGGATATGCATTCTTTTTGGAAGTTGTCCACGAGATATTTTTCTTCAATTTTCCTTAAGATAGAAGTGCTGCAATGAATCGTGTCTCTGCATACAAGCTTAACACAAATAATGAAAATCAGTTTATGTAAGATGACTGGAGGCAGTCGACACGAACCCCCAAAACCCTAGGGTTTCATGCTTGTCGGCACTCACCAGTCACAGCAACACGTATGTGTATCTGGGAGTCGAACCCGGATGTGTGTTTTTTTCATTGTTCAATCAGTTATCCGCATAATATACTCTACTTAGTCGTAAAAATGTTACAGTCAGATATACAACTGGCTTAACATAGATATTAACTTTGCATAGTTTACTTGCTTGCTGGTTTTCTAACCGGTCCCAATCCCGGGGAACAAAAGAGGGAAGGTTGGGCATGGAGCTAAAGACCCTACAATCCGGAAAACCAATCAAACTGCTACAGAAACGTCAAAGCACAAGAGAAGTATTAACATAGATGATTACAAAGTAGCATACAAGAAGAAAATTTTATCAGAGAGACTACTACTGCTGCTGCTGCTGCTGCTGCTGCTTACCAGTCAGTGTAGAATACTCCATTCAATGGAGTCATAAAATTCACCTCTTTAAGATTTAAGTTGGCAAATATTAATTTATTCTTGACAGAATATATTACGCATGGATGATTTGAACAAACGAAAACATTCACTTTACGCTGTGATCGCCATTGTCTCAGAAACATAGACGGTCCTGTACCAGCGATAACACGTTTTGCATCACGTAAACGAATATGACCTGTTAAAAGGCAGACAAACATGTGAAAAACACATTACAGTATGAGGAAGAGGAGAGAGAGAGCAACAACATACTTTACTACAAATGATTTTTCCTATTAGGGATGAAAGGTAAGTAAAGGTGAATACATTAGTTGTATGAGTCGATGGATGGTACAGCAGTAGAATGCTCGCCAACCAGGCAAGCATATGTGTTCTGGGGTTTGATCTCCGGCCAGTGCACTCCTAACCCTCGCTAAGTCGGTACTAAAGTCGGTAAAGGGGAACTGACTGACCGGTCTCAACACAGAATTTTGTACAGATGTGCAGTAGTTCCAGTTGACACTCTCCACTCCATGTAGCACACAAAGCAAGAAAAGAGAGTAAATAGAGATTCAAAAGAGAGATAATAAACAAAAGTGTGAGTGAGGGAAAAACGATAGTAGTAATATGGAAGAAGAAGAAGAAAAAGAGTTTTATTGCATATGATGACCAATCACAAAGAGGGAGTGCATCTGTTCTGTAGCTGCTCACTATGAAGGTTACCCGTTTCAGTTTGACGACAACCTTTCAGGTGTGTTAAAAGGTTTAAGTGACAATCACTAGTCATCAGTATTAAAGTCTTTTTCAGTTGTACCCACCTTTATTATTATTATTTATTATCACTTTATTCCTTTACGTCCCTACTGGTACAGAGGGCTTCAAACTGCCGCTTTGAAGTTCCGGTAGCAGTGGTGTTATAGTTCTTCGGAGTGGGGTTGCTAACCTTATGCCCAACTTTGCCTCTCCCATGTTAGGATGTACAATACAGTGAGTAATATTGAGGTTAGGAGAAGAAATCAATCGACGAGGTCGTGAAGTTACATCGATTGAGATGGTTAGGACATGTATCACACATGCAGCCCTAGCCATCGATCGCCTTCCTCAACGGCCAATGTTAGCTGACATAGGATTGTTCAGGTTGGAAAAGAACTAGTGGTTTTCAAATAAAACACGGCTTCATCAGTCAATGAGATGCATAATAGTTAGTTTAAGCCAGCCAGTCAAGTAGGGAGGCGTAGACCTACTGACTGGTTGGAGTCCTCGGGATGGTAAGAACCAATGAAGACTTTGATCTCAATGGCTGGCGCGGATGCATGCACTCTTTCTGACTTGTCATATCATCAATGAAACTCTATTGCTCTTCCATATTACTACTATTGTTTTCCCCTAGCTCACACTCCTGTTTATTATCTCTCTTCACTCTCTTTTCATGCTTTGTGTGCTACATGGAGTGGAGAGTGTCAACTGGGACTGTTACACATCTGTGCACATCAATACATCTTGTTTCTGACCCATCTTGTTAACTGACGTACAACTCTGCACAGAATTGCAACAGTTCAAGTTACCACACTGCACATATATCCCACTAAGGTAGATAAGAAAGTTCAAAGGGATTATATAATGTACAACACTTTCTTCTAACATAACTCGATGTCACCTAAAACTGTTTGACAAGGAGGACGATGGCTTGGCATGCAGAATACATCTCCTAGGCACCACAAGAGTTACACAGCTTAACAACTTTCTCGCCACTCCCTTTACGACTACTAGTCATTGCCATAACATCTCTTCATTGACGGAGTCGAGTGTTGTTTGGGGTCATGAAATATGCCTATATCCTAGGATCTGTTGAGGGGTGAAAATATGATCATTATACTCTCAACCTTGCCTAAAGTCTGACTGGTTTTCACGGGTTTGTTTTTTCTTAGCAGTGCTTAGTCTACGCATGATTACTGATACTATATGTGGCCTCTGAACAACAATATATTTAGATTAGAGTCAAATGTCACAAGGCTCATACATCCTCCATTGCTCATTAGTTTGCTTATAACTACTGCCAATGGGATACTCTGAAGTTTTACATGCTGAAGTAGGTGTCGTGATAGCTGTCTGATAGCCTAAATTGCTAGACAGAAATTTACGTCAATGTTTACGTCCCAAATCTTGGTCATAAGAAAAAACAAGAACAAAGCCTAACCTTGAGGAACTCAACAACCAATCACAACAGACTTAGCGTGGGCGGATACGATTCGCAGATATATCACCGGACTGTCTAAGAAACGGCAACAAACAGATGACAGAATAACCTTCAACAAGAAAACAACCAATCAGAAGAGGTTGCTTCTCTCCTGACAATAACGAATAATAATGTACATAAAAATTTTTAAATATCTCTTGATTTCCTTAATAAAGGATCTGTTGCCTGACCCTAGTCTTCTGTCGTTACAAGGTGATTGAAGATTCAAATCTACAACAGCAGTCTGCACTTGGAAGCAACTGTCAACTGTTCAACGTGGCCAAGTTACAAAACAGAGTTTCAGCTAACTATGCAGGCAAATTTCTTACTTTGAGATGTTCGGGTACAAGTCTGATAACTGGAACGGTTTTTAATGTACCGGGCTATGAGTCAGACATTTTGTGCTTCGGTTATATACACCACCCATTTGCCCAGTTTGAAGCAAGTCGAGTGGGATTCAAATCTGGGGTCTAGGCTCAAACTACAGTGCCACTGTCTAGTCTTGGATTTTGTACCACGATCAGGATTCTATGCGAATTGAAACATGCGAGTTTCACTAAAGGCTTGGGGTTGCAACAGCAGTCTGAACAGAAGAATAGAATAACCTATCAAGCAATGAGTGAAATACAACCATTGAGAATGATTTCTCGATGAGTCGCTGTCATAGATTTTAGCATTCGACATATAAATACAACTAGTTAATAGAAAAAACAAGTAACTTACCTCCCGAAGGGTCAATAGTATAAAAGTATAGCGTACCATCCCCCATTGCTGCAAACAAATAAGCCATATCCTCTAACTGAGCGATCAGTACAGACCGAGGTAATAGAGCAGTGCCAGTGGATGCTGTTGTCTCCGGCAGTGGTTCTTCATGAACAAGCTCCAGATTAGGAAGCTTGAGCAAAGCAAGACCATGACCCAACCATAGACCAACTGCAACTATATGCGGTACAGATGCATCCGGCGTAGACGATGGTGTTGTATCCATATGATGATTAGATGATGATGATGATCCTGAATTGATTGCAGCAATTGCACGACCATGATGGAAGGGTGTGAGATCAACACATGCCACTTCGTGAGGCATTTGTCGATGTCTTTGCAATTACAAAAGAGAAAACGAAGCACACAGAAACCAGCATAAATACTCGCTATTTACACATGAGTAAGGTTTTATTGAAAATGTCATACAAAAAATAGTCCTATAAGAAAACGTAGTACATCAAGGTTTTGCGTATTCGTTCCTTTAGTCATTCCATAAAAGATATCTCTATAATTTCTCAATTTCTTCTGCACACTGGCACAGTAATCCACTACATCTTACATCCAACGGGCACGCAACAAAGCAACAACTTTCGCACAACATTCAAGTGTTGGTTAGCAGGGATTTCACTGACTACAGGCTGGCTGGATTCAACATAGAACTTGGCACCGAAGTGCAGCAGTTCCAGTTGCCACGTTCCAAATAGCACACAAAGTTAGACAAGAAAATGAGTGAAGAGAATCAATAGAGTTTTGACAAGAGTGAAACAGAATGAGTAATGGTAGAAAGGAATATGAAAGATTACAGAGACTGAATACATCTGCGTAAGTCATTGACAACGATTTCGAGCCATGTCACCTATTGTCTCCAGCCATTGATTCTCAGAGTCCCGAGGGCCCCGACCCGGAAGTCCGCATCTCCCTACCTGACTCAGTTTAACTGTCAGGGATTTCATGGATTGATTGAGGCGATGTTTTTGTTTGGCCACCACTTACTCTTTTCCAACCTGCACCTATATCAGCTAGTAATGCCCGTCGGGGGAGGCGATGGGTAGGCATGCGCTGCACACGACCTAGCCATCTCAATCTATGTAACTTTATAGCCTCTTCGAGTGATTTTCCCTCTTTGCCCAACACTCTACGCCTAACGTCAACATTACTTACCTTATTATACCACCTAACGCGAGAAAGAGATCGTAGACATCTATGATCAAAAACAGTCAACCTTTTCATGTCTTCGACTCGTATTGGCCACGTCTCACAGCCATAGAGAAGGACGGAGCGAACTGCTGAGCAGTACACACGTCCCTTGGTTGATAGCCGGATGTCACGCCTACGCCAGAGACGGTGTAAATTAGCGAAAGCAGCCCGAGCTTTTTGGATCCGTGCTACAGGATTTCATCATGAGCTGGCAGTGGTCAGAGAACCATTGGAAAACCAGCTGGGAGTACTGGGCAGTTGCTTCGTCCTAGTCTGAGACTGATCATCAGTGCGCATCCACGGGGGTTCGAATCCACGACATTACGGTTACAAGGTAAGCTCGTAAACCCTTAGGCCAATGAAAACCGTTCTATATCTAAGTATACAAGTTCGGATAGGCTAATCATCCATAGATACACAGACAGTAAGAGCGGATCGACACCATTTGCATAGGGCATAAAAAAAAAACGACAATAATAAAAAAAAAAAAACAACATTGAGACTTACGCAACAAGTTCAATTTTAGGATCACTTCCTTCTCCAACCACCTTTAAAACATACAACTCTGTTCCACTTGCTACAACAATAGTATGACGAAATGAACTAAGACAGGAAATTCCACGTCCATTCGGTGGTCGCCATTCTATAAGACAACCTTTGCCAAATAATGATTGAATGCCTATCAAGCGTAGACCACTTGTTGTAGCTTGTAAAAGTATAGTATCAGAGGCAATAGAATTTTTGCTATCCACAATCATCATTTCTTGTTGTTCATTATTACTGCATGCATCATCATTGTTAACAGGTGACAATGTTGAACAATATACAGTTTGTTCATCAGTTTTAAAGCCTTCCAAATGTAAAGCTGTAATGTCATCATCAGCAAGACGTAGTAGCCTATAATATACATGCGCATTAAAAAGTGAGTTGAAAATAGGAAACACAAATGAGTAAATGTAGAAAAGAATGATGGAAAGAGTTATTAATTAACTGACAGCATTTTAATTGTTATTGGGAGAAAGGCTACCTTGTCAAGCTATCAAAGAAGGGTAACTTACGCCTCTCTTTTCAAGAACTAGCATGGAATAATGCTCTTGTCTAAACCAAGTAAAATACTAAGTCGCATCATCCTTGGAGGATCTGGACTTCGACAATGATATATTTATGTCTGATTTCCCACACACTGGAAGATATGCAAGCGAAAAGCAACAAGTTAGCAGAAGAAGCCTCAAAGATAGGACTTCAGGTGAACATAGATAAAACAGAGGTGATGAAGATTCCCGGGCAACACCACCAACAGCAACAAAAACAACAGACAACAATCAGCATAAATGGGAGGAACCTGAAAGAAACTACCTCTTTTACCTACCAACATGGGAAGCATCGTTTCAACTACAGGCGGAACTGACGAGGATATCAAAGTGAGGATCGGGAAAGCAAGACAAGCTTTCATTACTGTCAAGACTGTGCGGAGATCAACAGCGCTCAACATGAAAAATAAGATCCAGATTTTCAACTCCAATGTGAAGTCAGTGTTACTTTATGGATCGGAGACTTGGCGCGTCATAAAGAGCACTTCTGACAAACTACAGACCTTCATCAACAGCTGTCTTCTGTCAATACTACTCAAGATCAGATGGCCAGAAAAGATCAGCAACAGAGATCTCTGGGAGCGAACCAACCCAGCAGGAACCAATTGTGCAAAAAATAAGCAGGAAGAAATGGAGGTGGATTGGCCATACTCTGAGGAAACCATCAAGTGACATCACAAGACAGGCTCTCGAGTGGAACCCGAATGGGAAACGGCGAGTCGGTCGTCCAAGTGTGACATGGAGGAGGTCATTTGAAGAGGAGATAAAAGCATGTGGGCAGACGTGGAGCCAGGTGAAAACGTTGACGGAGAACCGAACGCAATGGAGACGTGCGGCTGAAACCCTATGTTCCTCCAGGAACTAAAGGAAGCAATAATAAATAATAATAATAATAATAAAAGATGCACTGGATACTCTACCAGCCCGGAACAAGCTGGATTCAGGAAAGGCAAATCATGTGCTGATCAAATTGCAACTCCACGCATCGTCATCACAGAGCAAAGCATAGAATGGCAGTCAAACCTCTACCTCAGCTTCATCGTCTTCGAAAAGCAGTTTAACAGACAGTGTTGACCGAGACGTAATTTGGAAACTGCTTCAACACTACGGCATGCAGTGCTTTAAGTCTTTATCAACCTCATTCAACAGTTAGCTATATGACAATGCCTCGTGCCAGGTGATCCACAAGTGGAAACTTAGCGACGCGTTCGAAGTGAATACAGGAGTAAGAAAAGTTGGCTGCCTGCCTATTATCACTGATCACCACTTCTCACTAGAACTCCAGGCAACTTCATCCTGTAGCTAGTCAATAACAAGCATCAAATTAATTTGATTAATTTGAATGAGGTTACTTTTTCACTTAGTTGGACAGCATCTTCTCAGCTAGAGGTAGCACGGATGAATATTTCAAAAGTGGGGATCACAAAAGCAAGATAGACATTCATTATTGCGATATCAGTGTGGAAATCTAATACAATCAGCATAGGATACACACTGAGAAGACCGTTGAGAGTCACCACCCGTCAGGTTCTCAAGTGAAATCCGAATGGGAAACGGCGAGTTGGCCGTCCGATAGTCACATCGAGGAGAACGCGTCAGGAGAAGATGAACGCTTTATGGGCAATCGTAGAGCTAGCTACAGAGGATTGCCGAGAACAGGATGAAATCACACACAACAATATAGGACTACTTTATGTGAATTTGTTTAATTTCCCTTCTTTTTCAGTAAATCTCTGTTTAAAGGATATAGTAACAGTTGAAATCCACTGTCATAGCTTACAAGCGTATGATTAGTATGAGTACTGTATACTAATGAAAACAATTAGACTGTAACACAGATCTAACAGTGCGTCGAAGTTTCAGAAGTAGAAAGCTCGCCAACTACGTATGTGGTCTGCTGTTCGATCCCCGACCGATGCACACCCTGGACCTCTCTAAACCGGTAATAAGATCGGTAAGAGGTCGGTCGGTTTTCGACATAGAACTTTGCACATGTGTGCGGCAGTTCAAGTCGCCACACTCCATGTAGCACACAAAGCAAGAGAAGAAAGTAGGAGAAATGCATATTAGAGACAGTAAACAGAGGTGTGAGACAAAGGAATAGTAATAACGAAGAACAATAAAGTTTCATTGGAAATCATAAGTCACAAGGAGTGGATGCATCTGCACCTGCCATTGACAACGATTTTGAGCCATGTCACCAATTGTTTCCAACCATTGGTTTTTACCATCCCGAGGACCCCAACCAGGAAGTTTACACCTTCCTACGTGGCTAAGACTAACTGTTGTAGATTTCATTGACTGGTGCCATGTTTTCGTTTGACCGCCGCTAGCTCTTTTCCAGCCTGACCCTATATCAGCTAACATTGCCTGTTGTCGAGGAAGGCGATGACTAGGCATACGTGACACATGTCCTAACCATCTCAGTCGATGTAATTTCACAGTCTCGTCGATTGATTTCCCCGCCTTACCTAGCACTCGACGCCTAACCTCAATATTGCTCACCTTATTATACCACTTCACGCGGGAGATAAAACGCAGACACCTATGATCGAAGACAGCTAATCTTTTCATGTCTTCTGCTCTCAATGGCTAGGTCTCACAGCCATAAAGGAAGACGGAGTGGACTGTTGAGCAGTACACACGCCCTTTGGTCGATAGTCGGATATCGCGTCTACGCCAGAGACGGCGTAAACTGGCATATGCGAAACTAGCTCTCTGCATCCGTACTGAGATCGGTAAAGAGGGAAGGCTGGGGCATGAGGCTAACAACCCCCACCCTGGAAAAATAAACACCAGTGCTACCGAAACTTCAAAGCTCTAGCTTGAAGCCATCAGTTATACTAGGAACATGAAGGAATAAAATAATAAGTAAATAATAACAGACCTAACAAAATACTTTGTGAATAATTTGTCATTATCTAAAACAATGAAACAATAGAAGAGTTTTCACTATGTAGGAGAGCTGAATATATTCAAGAAGGTATACGGAAAGGATAGTGTGAAGCATCAGAAATTAACAATTTTGTGCTTACTGAGTTTGACCAACCATGGAGACTACAATTGTATCATCATAGAGATCAGATTCAATGGAGAGACACCATGTTCCTGGAGGAAAAAGAAGGAAAACAAATAAAGTACTCAAGGGGAGCTGAGATCAAACATTAAATTACCGTCATATCGACTGGCATTTAGTGTTGGTGCTGACACTTGAGACTTACTCAGTACAAAACAAATTGAAGGTAGAAAAAATCATACGCATATAATATACAATATTGATGCAACTCTGTAACAGCATCGACACATACACTTGAATTACTGGATCGTGTAATGTATTTGTGCAACACATTTCGAATAATCTGATCATAGGAATATATATGAAATTAATAAAGAGTTAAGAGGTGAGAAAATAGACCTAGGTCAAGTTAAAAGGACATGTTCAAGGTCAAAATAACAATGAAGACCACTAAACCAAATAGCAGAGGTAATAGTACATCTACTCTGGCTAGTATCAAAACAAAGTTTACCAAGGAAGGTTTAGTGTGATGACGAATTGTTGCTTTGAACGCATAAAGATGGTTTAAACTTTCTAATTGCCAGCTGGGGCTTCCACAAACTTCAGGATACGCCCCAAACACGTTTTATAGATAGGTTTAAAAGATCTGTTAACGTCAATTTTATGTCCTGTCTCTATAATATGTTTCGTAATAGAGGAGCTAGGTCTCCTGTTCTCACCATTAATGGTTTCTGAAGATTCCATTTGTTTCTGGAGCCATTTAGGAATATGCTCTGAAGCCCTTACTTGCAGAGATCGATGAGTCCTCCCTATGTATGTGTGTCCACACGTACATTCAAATTGGTAAATACAGTGGGATATGACATCATTTTTCGCATGTTCGAAGAGCTTAGCTAGATATACTGGCTTCACATTCTCAATTATTATGATATTAGCTGCATAAAAAGTCTTTTTAACAGCAGCGTTCAGTTTTTATCTAGTTATCAAGCTGCTTTGATGCCCCATATAGGGTAGCTTGATGTACACGTCTTTCTTAGGCGCGAGTTGGAGGGTGGGTCTTGGTGTTCCACTGACTACTTTATATCTCCTGATGAACTTGTCTGGATAATTGTTATCAAATACATTACACGATTCAGACAAATTACGTCTTCTTATTGCTTTATCTAAATTCATAAAGGGAACTAATTGTTTTATACTTGAATTACTGTCTGATGGCGGGTAACACTAACTACACAGATCTTGGTGAATCAAAAGTGACTCTATCCTCTTATTCGAGAATTTAATGTTCCACCAGTGAAGCATAAGCTCCTGCACACAGTTTTATAACCGTTTATCAACTGACATTTATCTTTCCATATTAGTTTGTTTATTAGATGTATCACACAGTGAAACAGTATTATTTACTGGATGACAAGGTTTCGAACAAAATTTATTGTTCATAATCATATCAATTGTAATCACACGACTTTGAAACTTGAGTTTTATAGTTTTCTTTGTTTTCTCCTATTTGTTGTCATTGGGGTAGTAGAATTTTCCAGATATCGGGGACACGTGATGAATCATTCCTATTACATGCAGTCACACACAACCATACAATAGGATGGATGGGATAAGATGACAGTTTTAAAATCTAATGTCACAGGGTATAGGGAGAGATTGATAACAGCGGAAGCTTTGTTTATCGAATCAACTGTAAATACATGTAATAGGAATGATTCATCACCTGTCCCCGATATCTGGAGAAAACAAAGAAAACTATAAAACTCAAGTTTCAAAGTCGTGTGATTACAATTGATATGATTATGAACGATAAATTTTGTTCGAAACCTTGTCATCCAGTAAATAATACTGTTTCACTGTGTGATATATCTAATAAACAAACTAATATGGAATTACTTACTACCACAGTGCCCAAGTTTTACACATATATTCACATTTATCTTGGTGTCTAAGCGAAATAATGACAAATCAATCTACTGAGAATAACAGCGTGAGAATTAAAAAATGAATGACAGCAAAGATTTGTCTGTCAAACTGGTTATTTTTAGTATCGTAGTATTTATATGAGCTGGATGATTTTCTAGTCATCTTTATTGCTAAATTCACCATCAATCAAGTAGAATTTAGGAATTCGCCATGAAGAGAATAACCGTCTTCCTCGATGTTTGGTTGTCTCTGGAGTTCCATTTACCATTATGTTCCCTTGTGTTGACGATGATGATAGTTTTGTCAGTGTATTATTTGACATTTCGACTGTACGGCTTCTTTTTAATTATCCGATAAAATTGGTCTCCATCCTCACGTCTGTTAATTACAGTTTCATCTGATTATTGAAGGTGAGGGGCGTTGGTCAAGGCACTCAACTTTCAACCACTCGGTCATGGGATCTAGCCGTGCTCCACATACAGAGGTTTGCGCAGAGGGACACCTTATTAAGCCCTCACACAATGAGTATGATTCATTCTCAATATCATGGGAATGCAAGTGATTGTTGAGTAGCATACTGTCATGATCTCAGTACCAGATATCTCTACATTTCTCTTGAAATAAAGGTAATTTGATAAAATGACCCCAGCATTCTTTTAAACCTTAGGTGCCTGTGACTGATTGGATTCAACATAGACCTATGCACAGATGTGCACCAGTTCGAGTTGCCACATTCCATGTGACACACACAAAGTAAGAGAGGAGAGTAAAGAGAGATAATCAACAGGAGTGTGAGCGAGGGAAAAACGACAGAAGTAATATGGAAGGACAAGAGTTTTATTGCATTTGATGACAAATCACAAAGAGTGAATGCACTTGTGCCACGAAAGACAACAAAGATTTTGAGCCATATCACCGATTGTCTCTAGCCTCCATTGGTTCTTACCATCCTGAGGACCTTCCCTTCCAACCAGTCAGGAAGTCTACACCTTCCTACGTGACTGGTTTGCTCAAACTAACTATCAAAGATTTCATAGATTCCATGTTTCGGTTTGACCACCACTAACTCCTTTCCAACCTGGTCCTATGTCAGCTACCACTGCCCGTCGAGGAAGGCGATGGTTACACATGCATGAATAACGCAGGTCTTAACCATCTCAGTCGATGTAATTTAACTCGTCGATTGATTTCCCCTCCTTATCTAGCAAACGACGCACAACATGAGTATTACTTACTCTATTATACCACCTGACACACACGGGAGATGGAACTCAGACACCTATGGTCAAAGACAGGTATTATTATTATTATTTCCTTTAGTTCCTAGAGGAACATAGGGCTTCAGCCATGCGTCTCCATTGCGTTCGGTTCTCTGCTAGAGTTTTCACCTGGCTCCAAGTATGCCCACACGTTTTCATCTCCTCTTCACATGACCTCCTCCAGATCACCCTTGGACGACCAACTCGTCGCTTCCCTTTCGGGTTCCACTCGAGCAATGGCTTGTCTAGTGATGTCACTTGATGGTTTCCTCAGAGTGTGGCCAATCCATCTCCATTTCTTCCTGCCTATTTGTTTCACAATCGGTTCCTGGTTGGTTCGCTCCCAGAGATCTTTGTTGCTGATCCTTTCCGGCCATCTGATCTTGAGTATTGAGCGAAGATATCTGTTAATGAAGGTCTGTAGCTTGTTTGAGGTGCTCTTTGTGACACGCCAAGTCTCTGATCCGTATAGTAGTACTGACTTCACATTGGAGTTGAAAATCCCGATCTTATTTTTGACGCTGAATGATGTTGACCTCCACACAGACTTGAGAGTAATGAAAGCTTGCCTTGCTTTCCCGATCCTTGCTTTGATATCCTCGTCAGTTCCGCCTGTAGTTGAAACAATGCTTCCCAAGTAGGTAAAGGAGGTAGTTTCTTTTAGGTTCCTTCCATTTATGCTGATTGCTGTCTCTTGTTGTTGCTGTGGCTGTTGGTGTTGGCCAGGAATCTTCATCACCTCCGTTTTCTCTATGGTCAAAGACAGGTAGCCATCCTTTTCATGTCTTCCACTTTCAATGGCCGCCATGTCTCATTCACATCCATAAAGGAGGAGATGAGAGCGAACTGGTGAGCAGTACACACGCCCTTTGATCGATAACCAACTGGATATCAAACCCACTAAGCCACAGACGGAGTAAGTTGACTGAAAAATGCTACACGAGTCTTCTGTATCCGTCTTGAGATTTCGTCAGCGATCAACCCGCTGGGATTGGCTGATGCAGCTTCCCAAGTATGTGAAGTGGTCAACACACTCTACCAACTCACTCCTGCCTATCTTCAAGCTAGGAATGAATCAATGTAGTCCAGTCTAGTCCTGTAGCGTCATCCTACATTTGATAGGAGCGCGTGAATCACATGCCAAATATTCGAAGATTGATGTACAGCTCAAGATGTTCAGAAGACTCTGCGTTTTGTCAGCGACTTCACCTAGGAAGGAGGACTACATCATCTGCATATTCGAAGTCAACCAGATTATTCCCTGGTGGTAACAAGTCAATCTCTGAGTCACTGAAGTTAGTTAGGGTTAAGTCCATTAATACATCTATGATGAAATTAAACAGAAATGGAGATAGTGAACATCCTTGACGAACACCACTGTTTGTTACCTGACTACATCAGTTCGGGTAGAGTGCCTTGATCAGTACGAAAATATCAGTGTTGAAAATGCAAAATATTACCACCTACCTTTAATCAAATCTTGGTCGATTGTTGCGTGTTCATGAATCCCGATTCCGTTGCGTATCACACGCAAACTGCCTTCTTTATAAGCTCCAGAACAAGTAATCAATTGATTTTGACCTTTATTCTCTAATAAAACCATATCAACTATAGGTGAAATATTTGCATAAGTCTCCAAAATAGTTATATAACTATTTCGTTCAGGATCTGGATCAGGATTAAGACGAATCAATTGTGAATCTCCAAGAGTTGATCCGATAAACACTACTCCATTATCCAAATATGCTATAGATTCAGGTGTTGCAGTTTCACCTGTTAAGAAACAAAAAGAGTATAGGATAAAAAACGAATTAGTACTGAACTGAACAGACATCAATTTCACGATTAATGGAAACAATGTACTGACTGACTGACTGACTCTACGTTGAAATAGACTGGTAAGGTGAAATGTCTTTTAAGATCAATCTTATTCAATACAAAGTGGACATCAATAAATGTCACATACCAATGATGAGTAACTGGGTGACTCGGAACAGATTTTTCGACTGCCAACAAAGCTAAGGTTGTGTCATTATCCCTATGGTAAGGCATGACTAATAGTTTCAGAAGGAAACTTCAACTGAGTACTCTACAGACATTCTTATTTATACCATTTTTAAGGTTAGATACAAATACATGAACATTGTGACAACAACTAAGTATCCAGTTCCACCACGGATTCATATCAATTACAGGACTAGTGAAAATTGAGAACTCGACAGTTATTTCGTCATAGTTTGCGACTCATCATCAGCACCTACCCACTCAACCAGGCTTCGGACTAAACGCCTTCGGGTTACATGTCAACTTCGAAGACAATTCACCCACTCAGACGGACCCAACACTCAATGGCCAGCCAGCCCATGAATTATAACTTCTACTAATTCATCGTTTTTAGCCCGACTACCAGACAAGTATTTGTCCCCACAGTCCCGACCTAGTCGACCCCAAACCCACTGGTCACGACTTCTCACTAGAACTCCAGGCAACTTCATCCTGTAGCCAGTTACCAGCAAGCATCAGGTCAATTCTCAACAGTCAGCTTGGAGGAATTTGATTAGTTTCAAATTTGGCCACTAAATGCTTCTGGACTCCAACCCTGATGAGCGCGTACCACCGATGAGTCACAAACTATTGGGACGAAACACCTGTCCAGTACTCCTCGGGTTCCAATGCGTCTCCAACTCACATCAATCTGTGATCAAACTCTGAACAAACCGAATCCCTGCAAATTAACTGTCAAAAATAAGTGCCAATCTCTACTAATTTGTGATTTATAAGCGGTGAGTGATTATTTTTTAACATCACTAAAAGGTGAATAATATTCATCAAAGTACATATTAACATCTGATATGGAGTTACTATGGTAGAAATAATACAGTTATAAACATCTACATTTGATAATTCTGAAATATGAGGGAACTTCGTTAAAGATACAAAAACCGAATAAATACATTTAACACATATTATTAACCATATAGGACTAAATAAAAAGACTGTAACATGTCTTAGCTAAACTCATAAGGAAGTCTGAACACTGTTCACCAAGATTAATACTCAACTGAGATTTTCGATTTGTTAAGTACTTTATTTTGCCTGTATAATTTCCTTTCTCTTCCTTCCTTTATATACATTTTTTTAATTCCTTCCCATTCCCAGTGGGACATGGGGCTTCAAGCTACAGGCTCGAAGTTTCAGTAGCAGTGGTGTATTTTTACGGGATGGAGTTGCTAGCCTCATGCCCAACCTTCCCTCTTTGCCAGTCCTCTTACTGGCATAGCGAGGTAAAGGAGTGAGTCGGCCGGGGATCGAACCCCGGACCACCTGCATGGCTGGCGAGCACTCTACTGCTGTGTCATCGACGAACTTTACGTACAATGTTTTCCCTTTATTATTACTATTATCACCACTGTTATCATATTATTTTATCTGCCACGCAGTTAGTTTTCTTAAGATATTCGCAAATTGAAAATCATAGTTGAGTAGTAATCTTCGTGAGGAGTGTTCATAAACAATCTTATGAGTTTAAATCAGACATGTTAAAATCTCTTTATTTAGGCCTATATGGTTTACATATGCAAAATTTATTTAAGTGTTGGTTAGCAGGGATTTCACTGGTTACAGGATTTCATCATGAGCTGACGTCGGTTAAAGAACCATTGGAAAACCAGCTGGGAGTACTGGACAGCTGTTTCGTCCTAGTTTGGGACTCTTCGTCAGTGCGCACCCACTGGGGCTCGAACCCAACGATTCTCTAACTGATGTCAGCTCATGATGAAATCCTCCAGCCAATCAAAAAATCCCTACAAACTAATACCTGAAAATTGATCTGATGCTCACTAGAGACTGGCCCTATTCAGACAGTTAACTGGGGTTCTAGTGGGAAGCGTGACCAGTAGGTTACAACAGGTTGAAGGTGAGGACAGTTACTCATCGAAGACATTGCGAAGTGGTCACGCTATACCGTGAATTGGCAGAATTTAGAATTCATGGACGGGTCCCGGTGGCTTAATGGTCTACGAGCTCACTAGCCTTGTAACCAGAAGGTCCTGGGTTCGAGTCCCCGTGCGTGCGTGCGTACTGATGAAGAGTTCCAAACTGGGCTGACGAAACAGCTATCCAGTACTCCCAGCTGGTTTTCCAATGGTTCTTTAACCGACGTCAGTTCATGATGAAATCCTGTAACCAAAATTAACGAATAAAAATTACTAAAAGAAAAACCTGATTTACACACCGAGTAGTTCAATTCGAATTGATCCTATTCGACCAGCTGAAAGACTTTCACTATTTACTGAACTTATAGCACAATTGCTTGCAGATGAATTGTCCTCAGATAACAGATGTACCATGTATAACCGTCCAGCCATATCTCCCAATAAATAACGTTGTGCATCGACAGCAGCATAACATAGCACTTGACTTGCCTAAAGTAAAAAAATAAAAGTTATCGAAAACACAATTAACTTGTACATAGGCAAGATAATGTTTTATGTGGTTGATTTGTACTCGCTGTGGAAGCAAACATGTTTGAATGCCTATAAAAACGGTGTATGGATTCATTTTAGCTAAGTTACGAACTATCAGACACTTAACACAATCACTCTGCTTAAGTAACTATTACTTTGACACACTAAAAGAGACACTAGCAAACTGACGGTTAAGAATGTGTTAGAGCATCAGTTTCAATTACTTGACAATAATGACAACAATATAACACGAAACCCAGTAATAAATGATGGTGGTTTTTTTGGCTTCCGTCGTTTTCAGTGCACACAGAGTGAAGAGGAAGTGAAGAGCCATCAAGTAGAGGAGTTGCATTAGTAGAAGGAAGGCAAGATAATAGAGATGAAGATGAAGACAAAGGTGAGTGAGGATTAGAGAGGTTTCGCGTGCACTTCGGATTGTGAGGGCGATTGTTACTTCCCGGCTGCCCACACCGTGGAAGTTGGTTGCGTGACCGCAGAGCCCAGGGGACAGCTGCTTGAGGCCGGTCACACACGGCCTGTTTTTGTTTGTTGTTGTGTGTCTCTTACAGCGTCTCTGGCGTAGGCGTGACATCCGGCTGTCAACCAAGGGACGTGTATACTGCTCAGCAGTTCGCTCCGTCCTTCTCTATGGCGGTGAGACGTGGCCATTGAGAGCGGAAGACATGAAGAGATTGTCTGTTTTTGACCACAGATGTTTACGATCTCTTTCTCGCGTTAGGTGGTATAATAAGGTAAGTAATGTTGGCGTTAGGCGTAGAGTGTTGGGCAAAGAGGGAAAATCACTCGAAGAGGCTATAAAGTTACATAGATTGAGATGGCTAGGTCGTGTGCAGCGCATGCCTAACCATCGCCTCCCACGACGGGCATTACTAGCTGATATAGGTGCAGGTTGGAAAAGAGTAAGTGGTGGCCAAACAAAAACATGGCCTCATCAATCCATGAAATCATTGACAGTTAAACTCAGTGAGGTAGGGAGATGCAGAGTTCCGGGTTGGGACCCGCCCTCGGGACTCTAAGAATCAATGGCTGGAGACAATAGGTGACATGGCTCAAAATCGTTGTCAATGGCTTACGCAGATGTATTCAGTCTCTGTAATCTTTCATATTCCTTTCTACCATTATTCATTCTGTTTCACTCTTATACTTGTCAAAACTCTATTGATTCTCTTCACTCATTTTCCTGTCTACCTTTGTGTGCTATTTGGAACGTGGCAACTGGAACTGCTGCACTTCGGTGCCAAGTTCTATGTTGAATCCAGCAGCAGCAGCAGCAGTAATAAATGAACATGAAAGTATAACATGATCACGTAAATAGCATTATAGGTGAAGTAGGCAGAAGTGTGCTGCTAAATTTAAAATGTTAGAGGATTCATATAAAGGTTCATGTCAAACGTGTGCGGATATTCATCCGCATTTATGAAGATACTAACTACTGCAATGAAATATATATACAATACGAGGAGTGTTTTTTTCGCCTAATATTTCTTTATATTTGTCTCGATGAAAAGACAGAATACTTCAGAGGAAACATTTCGGATGTATTAACTCCAATCCTTAAGCAGGTGTAATTACTGTTTAGACGATTATCAAAGTACACCCCCCAATTGATTTCAGCGACTTGCGGACTGACTTGTTACCAGGGAACAGTCTTTCTGGCTAAGAATATACGGATGATAAAGTCCTTCTAGGTGAAGACGCTGGTGTAATGTTGAGCCCCCTCTGAACACCTTGAGCTAAGCAGAAATCTTCGAATGTCTAGCATGCGATTCACCCCTGTTGTCAAATGTAAGATGATGCTACAGGACTGGAATACACTGGCTCCTAGCTTGAACATAGAGTGAAGTGATGAATCGTGTTGATTACTTCACTTATATGGAAAGTTGCATCAATCCCCAGTGGACTGATTGCTGACGAAATCTCAGCACCAGCACAAAAAGTCTCGTGTGACATTTGTCAGCCAAATTAATTCATCTCTAGCATAGAAATGACACCCGGCTATCGATCAAACGGCGTGTGCACTGTGAGTCAGGTCACTCTGTCCTCCTAAATTATGGCTGTGAGTGAGACATGGCAGCCATTGAAAGTGGTAGACATGAAAAGCCTGGCTAACTGTTTTTGATCATAGGGGTTTGCGTTGTCTCCCGTGCTAGGTGGTATAATAAAGTGATTAATATTTATGTTAGGCATCGAGTGTTAGGTAGGGAGGGGAAGTCAATCGACGAGGTTGTGAAGTTACACAGACTGAGATGTCTGGGATATGTGTTACGCATGCTTAGCCAGTACCTTCCTCGACGGGTAAAGTAAGCTGACATAGGACCAGTTTGGAAAACAGCTAGTGATGGTCAAACCAAAACATTGTATCAGTTCATGAAATTTTTCAGTTAGTTTAAGCCAGTCACGTAAGGAGGTGTAGACTTCTGAATGGGTGGGGTTCTTAGGATGCTAAGAACCAATGGTTGGAAACTGTTGGTCATATGGCTCAAAATCGTGGTCAACGGTGGAGATGCATTCACTTTATATGATCTCTCGTATGCAATAGACCTCATTGTTTTCCATGTAACTACACTTTCTTCAACACATTTCTGCCTATTGTTCTTTTGAATCTCTTCTTTCTCTATCTTGTTTTCCTATGTGTGCAACACGAAGTTTGGCATCTAGAACTGCTGCAAAGTTCAGCGCTAAAACCAGCCAGCCAGTCGGTTTGAAGGGATAAGCAATAAGGACCTCTAGCAGTACAATCAACCCATAACCTTTTGCCTAACACGTAAGCAGAAAATAAAGATGGATTGGACAGACTCTGAGAAAACCTTCAAGTAATATCACATTTCAGGCATATCCTTGAATGGAACCCGAGTAGGAAGCAACGGGTTGAGCTTTAGAGGCGGAGATCATGTGAAGCAGAAATGGAAGCTTGTGGACAGTCGTCGGACAACAAGAGGTTGAGGGTAGAGAACCAATTGCTGCGGAGAAAATGTAGATGTGTCACTCGAGCCATTTGTTCCACTCAAAAGGCAGAGAGACTGGATAATGATAGTATTTCTAAACACTACTTGTGTTGTACCATCAGATCATATTACTCTGTCTCTTTTTAGATAGCGAGCAGCTTGTGAAACCTCTGTTGCAGTTGCAAGGTTAATGTTGACACTTCATTCTGACTGGAGTTGGATAGACAACCAAAGTTCACCTTCAAGCCATTTGAACCGTCCTTCAAAGTGTTCCACTTGACATTTTAGCCAGATCCTTGAGTTACCAAAGTCCTGTCCTTACCAGGTATCCTTTCATTAACCAGATGTTCCCTAGAACTCATTTCCCCGATAAGAATGAATAGGTGATAGGTATCACCTGACACACACCAGAGAGATCTAAACACCCAGAAACTAGCAGACGCACCCACTTACATTACCACTTTGAAATAAAGCAGATAAAATCAGGCAGTGATACTGAAACTCGAACTGCTGTACATATTTGCTAAGTTCTATGATGAAACTAGTAACTAAGTGCAGCAGATACAATTAAATAACTGTCAATAACTGAGATTTCAAAAGAATGAATACATCTGTCACCAAACGTTTTTGAATCATACGGCTGGAAATATTTAATTGTGGATACAAAGAATTTATGTGCAGTACACTTTACGTACACTCAAAAGCTTTCAGTATAACATGCTGTACAGAAAGGAAAAGTGTAAAAGGCGGAAAAAACTTAACGCTACACACAATAAATAAAACCTGAGATGCTAATTTCTTTAATTATATAAAATACTCACTTTTGCATGTGGTATATACTGAGATATATGTGGCCCGTCTTTGGTGTGATAGCATATGATATTGTCACCAACTAATATAACGCCACCATACGGCTTTGGAACTGGAATAAGCAGTTTAGAATCTGGTTCAATTGAATCCAGTGTCAGTTGAACATTTCGCAATGCAGGCTCTCGTCCGTAAATTTCGTACGTTTTCATGTGTAGTACAAGTTCATCTTCATATATCATAGCAAATGTCGGTAAACTGTAGCCATATATGAAGGCTATGTCGACAACATTACCTTCCTCAAACCTTAAGCAAATATAGCTTGTTAAGACTACTAACCTCACACTATATGTATTTACATTCCACTGACTAGTATCCAAGAAATCGGTGCCAATTTTATCTCCGATACACTGCAGCGATATGATTTTCAGAAGTCCATGATACAGTCGCACAACAATATAGTTCGAACCTGGATCGATTAAAACATCGAACCCCTGGTCGATCATTCGTGCACTTTTGTCCTATAACTTTTATTAAACACCAAAAATCATAGTACTTCTACACTTCCAGAAGCCACAGTAACAAATTCAACTGCATCTTTACTCCGAACGCATTCAATGATAGCCACACCAGCTTTGTGAGTAAGCAAAAATAGTGAGTCAGTGTCACGATCCTAAAGTCTAGAAATTAATGCGAAAATTTACCTTTCGCCTAAAAAGACAGGCAGCAACTATTTTTGCATTGATAGGGACATCCCGAACTAATTTTAAACCCTCACTCGTGACATCAAAAACTTCAATAAAAGTACTCTTGCAGATGAGTAAATTCAGATCATTTGGACTGGTAAAGTGGCCTAAACAACTGTGTCCAAGAAACCAAATTTTATTACCTGTACACGTTTTTACTATAGTAGTAGGCCGTTGTGTAGTCACGTGGTAAAAGTGTGCCATCACCTCAGTTCTATATCAAAACTTGCCGCATGTGCGCTACAATGAGTTAAGGTTATTCAATTACTTTTGATTCAATATGGTTAGTGTCAAAATTTGAAAATTCATTTATTTTGTGTTACAATATAAGGCTAAAGACTTCAATTAATAATCTGTAGCAAATATTTTGTCATCAGAATGATACATTTCCGGAGATATTCTGCTTATCAATTCATTTTTGTGGTACGAGCTAATGTTTTCTGTAAGTAATCAGAACTGTTAGCGAGTGTGGATGGCCAGACAGCTTATCTCTTATCTTCGAAGATATTCGTGACGTTCACCAGTATGAAGCTCACTGCCTGCTCGACGTGTGGCTCACCGAACAGGCATTGCATTCTGAGAGAAATTAACATGCTTTCGCCGTAACGACTACCACTTCTTTTCTTTCTTTCACAACCAAAATACTGGCTAGACTTTCATCAGTCACGCCTGATGTCCCACTAATTTTCTGTATAGTTTCCTTGCTGATAAATATATGTGTGGAGTCTTCCGGCAATTGAGGAAAGAAGTTGTAGTAATCACAGACGATATAATTGTTCACCAAATAAGTATTTTCCAGTAGAAAGTATCGGCACTTAAAAATGTACAATGTTGTTACTCAGTTTCTGCAATGTAAGTGGAAGGTCCCGATCCATAACTCTTTCCCTAATGGAATTACCTTCAGCTGCTGACCCAGCCAACTGTACTGGGCCATGGGTTTTCCGGTCATCTGAAATCCATATCCTGCTCCTAGCAGGGGAACCTAAAAACACGGTAAGCACCCATGCTACTGACCACTTCAGTGGTGGTTTAGTTGCTAATGCAATGGAATGCATAGATATAAGCAAAAGTAGTTTTTATATTATGCAATTAGTCCAAACAGCTGTAATATCCACTACTTCCTCTTATAGAAAGCTAAGTTATATAAATGCACCGGAAATTAACTTTTTGACGCTTCCTTTCATACGAATCGCCTAACAGTTGTTGTGCTCAGGTACCTAACGACATCTGCCTGACAACTGGGGCAGATCGCTGCTCCGCCGTTATTTCATTTCAGAAACAGTGACTAACATGACTGTACACATAGACAACGTGTTTGTAGGGTTTCGCGGCCCGCCTTTCCGCTTATTATTTATCTAAATAATAATTATGTATGCGTCCTTTGACGTTTAATTTTGCTTTTTAGCTTCCAGCTGGTATCGCCAATTTCAGGGCTTCTGTTGCTGAAGAGAATGATTCCTTCAATACCTCTCACTTTGTATTATGTTATCCCGTGTCACCGCGCGTGATTCTGGTCGGACCTTACAATCCCTTCATATTAGGAGGGTAATTTCTTATTGATTTTTTGAGTACTCTATTGGATATTATGCTGTGGGGCCACTGAAATACTGTATTCTACAGCCACTTAGAAGTTGTGAGTGATTATGGAACTTAGATAGATAGAACGAACAAGCAAGCAGGAATTACACCTTTTTTGTGATTTGTAAGGCTTTCCTTATCTACTGAATGATGAATGACCTCCCGTTTGTTTGACTAGGCGTTCCTCACTTCACTTACCCTCTACCGTGCTCTCGGAAATAAAGTTTATAAACAACATTGGTCTTCTACAGTATTACAGGTCGTCGGTCCGTAATTTGGTTTATTATTTTGATCGAAAAATTGGTTTCTAAAGTAACATTTTACAACTACAACTGATATTGGTTGCTCCTCGAGCTTCTAAAAATCCAGATTTATCACCATCAGAATTCAAATTCGGATCATCTTTTTTGAAGGCGTGTCCTCTTTGTGCGAAGAAAACTATAGAGAAATCTTTTCATTTGTGGTGTGCAAGCATTACAATTAAATTTCTGGATAATAGGCCTCTTTTTGATCTGTATTTTGCAGTTTGTTACGTTTGGCTGTCTTTTGTTTATTTATAAAAACATACGACTTCCTGCCTAGCCTGCAGTAGTTCCCAGTCTCTCTATGTTCTCGATATATTATTCACATACATACCCCGTATCGTTTTCTCTCGGCCTTTACTTGAAGCCATTGTATTCCGTATGCAGCAATGGCCCAACGAAATAAATGAGCACTTTCTGCACGTAAACGCAACTCAGGGTGCACGGCTTAAAAAATTAACGCTCGCTACTCTATATTCCACGTGGCTACAACGATGTCCCCAACGTCACTGTCTCTGATTTGCTCTCTGAGATATACCCTACCACTAACCAGAACGCACCGCACCCTAATTCTTTAGGGAATTTTCTGAGGGGATCCAATGTGAAAATTAACACCACTAAGCCACTATAGCTTGTTTTGACCCAATCCATGATATCATTTCGAATAGTCTGCTGAAATCTAAGCGTGTGTTAGGCTTCAGAGTAATCGAAGCGAATCACGCCCTCACCCAAAATCTACTTGATAGTACATCATTCGAAATGATCAAGGCCACATGTCTTAGAAAAATCAAGAAAGTTCACCTATCCCGTACTCTTCGAATTTAGTACCTCTAACGATGCAGATAGATTCTGGCCACCTAACAGGCAAATTAGTTCATCCATATCTCATTACCTAACGCCGTGTCAAACATGAAGTTGTGAAAATGTATTGAATGTCGCTAAACCTTATCTAGCCACAAAACTTGCCAAGGAAGTGTCTTTTCCTTTAGATTTGAGTAAAGCAGCAGCATAAAATATGCGTGAAAATAAAGTGACCGTAAATAATAGAGCCTATCCTAGTTAGCCCAACTTTGAGGCAGTACGGCCAGATACCTAGACATGTCTTTAAAGCTGAACTTGCCGGAAACATTACCATTATCATCAGCCTCTGATCGGTCCCTTAGTCATCCTACTACCAGTGCTACGCAAAAAACCAACCTAAACTCTGTGCCTACAGGTAGGACGTTCCCAGTATGCACACAATACGAAGTCACTTAACCCCAGAACCAAGGAAAACCGTACTCAAACTCGTTCCTATACGGTCGTTTAGCAACAAACCTCTTTACCTGAGTAAAACCAACCCTACAAGTAACCCACATGAGTCGAACAAGTCTTGGTGCTATAGTAAATATGACGTCAATGAAAAGGAACTTGACTTATCCAGCCATCCAAAATCTGGTAAATCTTCATCCGAGAAACACAATAGACGCTGTTTCTCTGGGCGCTCCATGACTAAGTCGAAAGCATACTGACAAGGATACACCTGCGTGACACAATTCCCCTGTCTACGGCCAAAATACATGTAAATTCGATCCAGGTTCCTCCGTCAGAAGTAAGCACAGGGTTAGGCTTCATTTCTAAAAGTGAACTACTGGTTCATCACATCCCTGAATACCAACTAAAGTAACTTACGAACTGGTGTTCACAAAAACAACCTAGATACAGACGGTGTGAATCGTAGTTGCGATACATATAACTTTAACCTCCACAAAAACATCTTCCTCTCCTTCGCCCAAAATAAATTTTCTTGGCAAATACGCAATCTCAGCATCAATATAATTAAACATTTCCATTATTAATATCAGAACAAGACATAAAAGAGAACAATATTGTTGTTTTCGATTAGATCCTCTTCTTCAGGCTTTACTCTAATGTACATAGATTTATATATAAAACAGAATTTAACTAATGATGGTGATTTTGTGAATCAAGTAATAATAATAATGTGGTAAATGTTTTGAGCGTAGTGAATAACGATGATTATAATGATAACAAAATATTGATAATAAGGTTTATGCAGGTAGCGATAAGAATAACAAAGGTAGTAATATATGTATCTGTAGACAGTTCAATAAATAAATTAGGTCAAATCTTAAAAGTTACGTAACACTAAGGGTGAAGTGGACATATAATAAGACTTTAAACAAATAACGTAAAAATACGAAGGAGATGGAAAATAAGAAAGGGTGGGAGGTTTTCGAATAGAATTCACCTAGGCTAAGGGAGAGACAAAGATAGAACAAACTTCATTTGTATGCAAAGACTAGGATTGTTCTCTCGAATTCCCATAGCTTCGGCTATGTTTAAAAGACGGATTCGAATTCCGTTCGAAAGGCTCGATGGAATGCGATAGATAACTTTGAAGGCACTATTTTTGTCCACTTGGTGACCACTATTAATCAAATAGAACTTATAGATTTTATTTGGCATTTTCCAAACCATGAAGGAAGATGCTCATTAATGCGTTTGTTAAGCTGTCTAGTTGTTTGCCCTAAATAGCTCTCCCCACAGAAGCAACTAAATTTATAGATACAAATAGATGTGGCACAGCTAGGTAGCTTGTCTTTCACGTGAGCAATCATAATTGGTGGGCTGGAAAATGACAAACAAAGGGTGGCAGCAGTATAAGTCCGTTTTATCGCTCTCGATAATCTCAGATGTAAGACTTCGCTAGCCACGTCCCCATCTACTAGGATAACCCATTTGGACCAGCGTATTTTGGATGTATCCTAACTCATATGTAGGAAGCCATCTGTAAAGACACGTCTTGCTCTATTCGTGAGGCAGCTGACCAAATTGACTATATATTGGATTGGTACAAAACTGGGGAAATAATAATAATGTATTTCACATAAATTTACAAATTTACATGAAAATGCATGCCATTTTTACAGGCACGATCAAGTATGACATAATATCAAATCGTAGATTGTCTACAAGTTAATCGTATTTCAACTGTTAAATATTCGATACATATAATACACTCATTTTCTGAATTAGGCCGTATAGTTATTGAATTGTACAGTTGTCCTCCAGGTTGAGCGGGAAAATCGACTTCGTTCCGTTTTCATCCCGTGGTTGTATATTGTTCTCCCACCATCATGTTCTTCTTCACAAGTGAAGATGAATGATGGATGTGCATCGTTAAATTTTATTAGCATTTCATTCTTGTCAGTTTTCACATCAAGAATAATAAACGTATCATCAACATAGCGAAAATAAGAATCAGTTTATCTATTACTTGTTTCAATGGACCATTTTCAACCTTAGCAAGAAATAAATCTGCCGAAATTGGCCCCAATGGAGAACCTATGTCAATACCGTTGATTTGTCTGTAGTAAAGGTTGTTGAATGTGAAGCGTACGTTCATAGTACATTTTAAA